AAAGAAACATATCATTTTATATTTTATATTATAATGTGTATTTGTCATTTATATGTAACATATGGAGAGAGATCATTTGACTTCAGAGTAAGACTTATAAATCTTACTCTTTATCTCAGTCTTTGATTTTTGTCTATCCAACAGTTATAGTTTAAGAAGTCTTATCAATTAATTAATGGGAAAAAAGTATCTAATGTTACTTTAGATAACTTTGTCTAATGTTAATTGAAATGACGTCATTTTGGGGTTGAAAAATAAAAAAATTAGAATGATAAAGACTATTATAATCCTGAAATAAATTAAAATTACAAAAATAACATGATTTCCGCCCCAAAACGACATCGCTTCTGTACTGTTAGTGGTACATAGATGTCTCCCATGGAGGGTGAAGTATGTTGATATAGGGGGTGTCCATAGTGGCAATGGTAGAGACCAGGCACTAGTGGAGCTTTCCATGTATGTGCTAAAGGGGGGAATGTGTGTGTATGACAGCATATGAGAGGAGTGGGGAAGAAGAAGGTCCTCTCTCCATGTGTGAGAGAGGTATTTAGAGAGGAGAGTCATCTCTTCATGGGGGCTTGAGCTGGTCAGCCCATGAGCTGTCTCATCAAGCTGCCCACTGTCAGTGTACAGGGGCAGCAGTGCAGGATGAGGAATGTCCCAGTGTTGAGCATCTATGGCTTCTCATGGGTGCCCTCTAGAAGGTTCTAGAATGTGGGCTTTGACAGATTGGGCCCATCTGGTGGGCCTAGTAAATAGCATCCGGAACAGGAGCCCCCCAGCTTGGTAGCTTGAAGGAGTCAAGGTGCCAAGATATATGGCACCTTAGGCCGGATACCCGTAGTGTGTAGTGTTCTATGAAGGATATAATGTAACCGATCGATAATACGTCGGCCTTCATGAGTTGTTTATTTGTTGTCGTCGAGTATGAATTGTCTGACTGGCGATGCTTAAGTGCTTCAAGAGGGTCTTCTATTTGTGGGTTGCAATTGTGTTGAACTTTGTTGTCTTCAAAGATGCGCCTTGTTATCGATGAAGGTCTTCAAATGTTGTTGAAGTAGTAATAATTTAATTGTAAGAATAAGCTGCGAGCCCATGTTGAATCAAGTATCCTGTAGATTTAAACAACTACAATAAAGATGCCTTGAGCGTCTGATAATAATCAAATAATGTTGTAGATGAAAGCTTGAAGATCCTGATGATAAATATACATGCTCCGTTCTTCAGTAATAAAACTCGGTGATATGAATGTATGATAAATAATGCCCAGTGACTTGGGTCTTTGATGTCTAGTTGCTCAGATATGTTGCTCCATGATCATGTTTAATAACTGAAATAAAGATGTCTTGACCGTCTGATAAAATAATGTTATAGATGAGATCTTCTGGAGAGGATAATTGTTCCAAGAGAGAGAGAATCCGTTCTTCAGAAATAAAACTTGCTGATGACAAATAATGTAGCGGATGAAAGCTTCTCGAGAAGAGAATGTGTTCCAAAAGAGAAAGAGACTAAGAGTCTTTATAGATGATAAATATGTATGCTCCCTTCTTCAGAAATAAAACTCGCTGGTGACAAATAATGTAGTGAATGAAAGCTTTCTCGAGAAGAGAATGTGTTCCAAGAGACTAGGAGTCTTCGTAGATGATAAATCTGTATATTCCTTTCTTTAACAACAAAGCTCGGCGATATGAACGTCTAATGAATAATGCCCAGTGACTTGGGTCTTTGATGTCCAGTTGCTCCAATATAAATCCTGCAACAGCTAGTATAGTTGTGTATAAATGACGATAAAAGTGTGCCTGGATGGGACGTTGGCCAGACGCCGGCCATCTAGGACTTTTGCCGAGGGGTAGCACATCTCGGACTTTGTTTACCGGGGGTGAGAACCGTCCTGGCTTTCATAATTATTTATCGGGGGTGACAACCGTCCCGACCTTCATATAGAGATACGTTTTTGTCCCGGGCTGCCGGTCTTCATTGTATACCGGGGGTGAGAACCATCCCGGCCTTCAATATGTTTAAGCAACTCATATTAAAGTTATAATCATATGAAATTAATACCGATGCGGTAGAGAGAAGTATGTATATGCTAGTGAAGAGATATTATTACTAGGTGTTGATAATAAAACCTGACCATGTTAGCATGGAAGTGTTGATTGGATAGCTTTCAGGTTGTTGATTGGCATGAGAGCTTGGTCTCCATGTTGGGAGAGCTGAAATCCTGCTATTGGGCGTGATTGAAATGTTGGCCTCCCTGTTGGGCGGTTACTCTTTGCGCCCCTCGTGTATATTGAGTGGTTGTTATGGTCCTAGTGCTCGTTGGGCGGTGGGGTGCTAGTTGGGCGGTGGCCTCTTTAGGCGATGGGACCTTCTTTTGGGCGGTGGCTTATTTAGGCGGTTGATGGTTGGTGGTTAGTCTCTCTCTAGTCTCTGGTCGGCAAGTGCCTACATGTGCTTAGCTTGGTACGGTTGTTGATCAAATCATATAACCGACTGGGCATGTTGAGCTGGAAAGCACGGGTCATGTACCTAACCGGCTAATTTGATGGTCGAGGATAACTTGATATTGGTGATGATTGTCTGATCGGATGACTTCATGGTGGGCGGGTATGTGAAGAATGGGAACATTGAAAGTGCCTCGCACTTGTTTAACGAATCGCCCGTGAAGGGCGGTCTAGGCTTGGCTTCATTTCTTGCTAGCTCTTTTTTGAGTGGAGCTTGCCTTTAATAGCTTTGTTATTTGCTTTTGGGCGATTGGCTTTTTCTGGTAAGTTGGGCGGTTGGTGTTATTTGACAAGTTGGGCGATCGACATAGACTTTGGGCGGGGGCCAATGAACTGATCTCCAAGAGACGGTTGGCGATTGAGTTTGTGACTCGTAGGCGACCTGTGGAAGATACTTATACGACCATAACATTGAAAGAGAAAATGAGTTATTCAAAAATGTGTACTTTCTTATCATGCTGAGCTTGCAACGATTTTGTAAAAAAAAAAAAAGGAGGCTGACTAGTGTCAGCTTTTTTTTTTTTTCTAACCCCATTAAAAAGATCCTTATAATAAGTAAAGCGTAACTGCATCGACTTTTGGGGTTTCTTTATCTTATTATAATAAGACAAAACAAATTGGACTTTGATAAAAGGATAGATAAAACCTGTATGTCTCTTTATATTTGCATTTCAATAAAGTACTTGAATTTGGAGGATTGTTTTGCTATGCACGAACTTCGAAACTGCAAATTCACGTGACCGCAGTGATAGGTTTCTAGCTTTGGTGTTGGTTTTGATATCTTTGTAGATTTGATTTTTTGCTGACAAAATTTTCTTGAGCCTTACACCTCTGCTTTGATTTCACCTTGACGATTCTTTTTACTTTGATCAGTATACTTTCCATGTTGGAGACTTTATCATTTGCTTTGCACGAGCTTCCAAGTAAGAGACTCAAGTCCAACTTACATAGATGTAGACCGGTATGTATAAACAAAATGTTATTAAGATCCATAGATAGCACGTCGCTCGAAGACCGTCCTTTCTCGTGTGGATATCTTTATGTGCAAAGATCATCTTCATAATTTATTACTTCAGCTTTTTGTAGTGACTGACGCTTCTGTGGTAATTCATTTGAATTGTCAAAGTTGCTTAGTTTTGGCAACATTGTTCCTGCAAAAACATTCAATAAAAACAAGAGGTTTGATTTCTTTGCTGGGTCCTGCCATCTGCTGTTTCTTTTGCTAGTCAGTGTGAGGTAATGCAAGTAAGGCATATGTGAACGGGGAACTTTGAAGAAAACGTGTGAACGCCAAGTAAGGCATGTGGACGCCAGAGAGTCTATGTGAACGCCAAGGAGATAACGTGACCACCGTAAATAACGTCTGTGATGGCAAGCTCCACTGGTTCGACGGCGAACGACTAGGAGAGCTGAATTTATCGTGCTGGTGGATGATGGAAGTGTCGTCGGTTGGCTGGCGATCCTGTCTTTGAGAAGAATGGGAAAATGTTGTTGGCGGTTGTCTCCTCATCGGAAAGTTTTTCTTGAAGACTGGAAGAGTAGAAGACCAGTTGATTGGAAGATTTGAAACTAATGATAGCTTTTGTTCTCATTCTGATTTTTCTGCTCCTTTATAAATCTGGGTTTGGGATCTTTTAGGAAAGACCTCCGAGAACTTTGCAGAAAGGCCTCTTGGGGAGTGCAACCGAGAGGTTGTGGGTTGTGGAAATAGAAGAAAAGACACTTCTTCACTTTCTTAGAAATTTCGGTAAAGAAATGGGAATCAGAGTTTGTCGTTTCCCACAGACGGCGCCAATGTACTGTTAGTGGTACATAGATGTCTACCATGGAAGGTGAAGTATGTTGATATAGGGGGTGTCCATAGTGGCAATGGTAGAGACCAGATATGAGAGGAGTGGGGAAGAAGAAGATCCTCTCTCCATGTGTGAGAGAGGTATTTAGAGAGGAGAGTCCTCTCTTCATGGGGGCTTGAGCTGGTCAGCCCATGAGCTGTCTCATCAAGCTGCCCACTGTCAGTGTACAGGGACAACAGTGCAGGATGGGGAATGTTCCAGTGTTGAGCCTCTATGGCTTCTCATGGGTGCCCTCTATAAGGTTCTAGAATGTGGGCTTTGACAGATTGGGCCCATCTGGTGGGCCTAGTAAATAACATCCGGAACAGTTTCGATGAACATTAGATAAAGTTATATAAAGTAATTTTAAAAAAAACAAACCCTTAATTAATTAGTAATTACATTATAAATAATAATCATTGATTTTCATCCATCAACGACTAACATGAACTTAAAAGAACTCTCCCTTCCCCGTAACATATATATTCCTCACAAATTATCATTTATCTCCGGGTCTATAAAATACTCGTAAAAAGAAAGTCTGCGAAAAAGTCTTGGGCCGTAAATATAACCTACAGATATACAAAGCCCAAGGCCCAGATTTGAGACTTGCTCACTACTCCTTCTCTCTCACCTCTTTATACACGCACTTTGGAGAAGCTAGTATCGTTTACCCTTCGCGACCTCTCTCTCTCTCTCTCTCTCTCTCTCTCTCTCTCTCTCTCTCACACACACAGGTTAGTATTTTGGAAAAGTTTTCCACTGTTTTCTCACTTATTTTCCCTTTCTTTCTCTGTTCCCAAACAGATCGACGTATTTTTCATTTCAAGGCTTTCAATTCAGTTTACTCATGATATACTCAAAATTCACATTTTGAGGATTTTTTTTTTTCTTAATCTTTTTGATTAGGGCTGGTATGAAACACATTGGTTCATTGCGTATTAGTTTGATCATAACTTGAAATATTTTTGTTTTTATATAAAATGTTTGTTTTATATTGTGATTGTAACTTTAAAATTGTGCGTGCAGCTTCTTGTACCGTTTATCATGGGAGATAGTCAGTATTCATTTTCTCTTACCACATTTAGGTTTGTTTATTACCGATAACTTTATTTATTATTATTATTATTGTTGTTATTATTATTATTATTATTATTATTATTATTTGGTTTAGAAAGACAATGGGAGTGGTGTGTGTTTGAACTGATTCTGTTGTGTTGTTGAACAGCCCTTCTGGAAAGCTTGTTCAGATTGAACATGCTTTGACAGCTGTTGGGTCTGGACAAACGTCTCTGGGGATTAAAGGTGAGTGATTTGATTATCTCTGACTCTGGATTGGATCTGTTTATGTCATTTGTTCCTCAGTATTCTTGTTGCCTCAGGCTTTTCAATGGCCTTTATTTGAATGGATTCTTTTAAGGAGCAGCAGACACTTGTGTCGTTGATTGGTTATGGGGTGGGGGTGGGGAAGTAACTGAAATAAATGACGTTTCATTGGGGTAAGTTGTTGTTCTTGGAGTTCAATTTTTTTTTTTGATAACTTAAATTAACGGCGTGGGTATTGGGATTGTGGGACTAGAGGGGAGCAGACAATATTAGATTTGTTCAGTCAGGTGTCCAGGACTAGGATGCTAAAACAACTTTAGGTTTCTAATTTCATTCATTAATTTCAGAAGTATTCTGGATTTATGAGTAAATTTAGCATGCGTGATATGGCTGGAGGTGCTGCTAAAGTGATCAGTGGACAGAATTTGTGAATTGAGTGGTGGTATATGCATCTATGATTTATAAAGTTTAACTGTTGTTTGTTAAAGGTAATACAGTGGGTGTGTGGAAGGAATCATTGAAGATATTTGGGTTTTCTGGATAATTCATATGCCTGGCACAATATGTTATTCTTTTGTTTCATTGTTCTAAACTCAGTGATCTTGGTATTAGATGATTATAAGAATGACAGTTTTTTTCCCGCACAAAGGCAGAATCAGCTTGCATGATTGTCATCTAATAGATAGGCAGAAGATTGATTTCTTTTGTGTTTTTGGTATAAAAAGGCTTACAGTTTTTATGACGCCATCTAGGTGGCCTTGCATCATGTGGAGGATAAGTTAAGCTCTGGGAAAATAGTGCTTTCTGAAATGTATAAATTATTGGGATGAGTTGGTTTGAGAGGAGGCTGGAGTTAGATATTTCTTAGTTTGTGATTTAATCTCATGTTTCGGTATCATTTTGGTATAACATTGATTTTTACATTTTGGTATTTAATTGCAATGTGCTATTGTTTATACTATTTGCTTTCTGATTCATTGGGTTCTTGTGTCTTGTCGATGATATGAATCTTTTAATGTAAGTTGTAGCTCATGTTATTATTATTTATTTGATTCTTGCAGCTGCAAATGGAGTTGTCATTGCAACAGAGAAGAAACTTCCATCTATATTGGTTGATGAAGCATCGGTGAGTTTCTTTTTGTTGGGTCCCTTTTTGTTCATTATTCATGTAAAAAGTTTATAAAATTATCTTATACAAGATCCATACTATTTGGTTCTGCTATCTTTTTCCTCCTGAATTTTCCCCATCCCCAAGAAATTATTCAGCATCCTTTCCTAATTTCTTCTTGTTGGTTTTCCCAATGATGAATTATAAAGAGGTCCTTGAGTGATGAGTTTTTGCTTCACCTCATATGGATAAATATTACCAGTCATTGTTTGCATTTTACTGTGAGAAATGTGCACCATAAAATTGTTTGGGCATCAATGCGTTATCATTGTTTCCCAAGGTGAAAGATGCTATGACTTTGGATTGAACCTGTCTTGTGAGATACTGATGTTGACTTTTACGTGGTCTCCTGAAGAAATATTATTGGCAGGGTGTAGTTTTATTTTGCCTGTTTCTGCTTTGTTTCTTGATTTTTGAAGTGGCAGAGTCAATTTTGTAGAGTGGTAAACTGCCATCAGCTTGTAGACAGATAAATTTAAAATAATTTAGGGAATCAAGAAAACAAAAATAGCTACATCACTCTATAAACAGCAAACAACAATAGCCAAAGCCATTGTTCATTAGGTGTGGTTAGCTTCATGGATCAAACAATGCCATTGTATTCTGTTAAAAACTAATTCTTGAGAGAGGTCATTTAGATCTAAACCTTATATAATGGTCCACTTAAAGGCTTTCTCGGTCTATCTCTACCTCTAATTGTTGGGCTATCGTCCTTGTCTTCTAATGGTGGCTTCTATTAGTTTGTTTTCTTCTCTCATTTGCAAACTATCTTAGGCATTCCTTAATAGGTGTCACTTTAACTTTCTCTTTAATACATCCATTCCTTATTATAATTATTCTTTTGCATGACCACTCTTCCAACACAAAATTTTCATGTTAGCAATACTTATGCCCTTGTTGACCCTTTATTGCCCAAGCCCAACATTCAGTACTGTAAAGCATTGCTGGTCTTATGGCTGTGATGTTAAATATTCTTTTTAGCTTAAGAGGCACCTTTCTGTAATTCCATCTCAAATAAACTTGAAGCATTTTTCGATTTCATCCATCCTACTTGAATTCTATGATTGACATCTCCTATTTTGCTCTTGCTTTGTATGAGAGATCCAAGCTACCTTAATTATGTAACTTTTGATAAGTTAGATCTCCAATCTTTACCACTAAATAGGTGCTAGTAGGTTTCTTATTTAACTGGCATTCCATATTCTCCGTTTTACTTCTTAAATGGAAAGTGGAAACCATGTGTTTATGAAGCTTCTCTCTGTAACTCTAAATTACCATTTATTCCCTCTCGACTCTCCTACTAGAATTACATCATTTGCAAAAAGCATGCATTGAGGCTCTGACTCCTGGATATGTTGAGTAAGATTGTCCAAACCAATGTAAAATGATAAGGGCTTAAGGTTGACACTTGGTGTAAACCTGTAGTTATAGGGAAGTCCTCTGTAGCTGCACCATGTATTCGTACATTGGTTTAATCCTCTGTGGCTGCTCCATGTTTTCGTATATTGGTTTTAACACTATCATACATATTCTTGATGGCCTGAATATAAGTTACATTGCTTCATGCTTGAAAAAAATAAATTTAACTTCTACACTGTTGTGTTCATCTAATTTAAACCCTGATTATATTTTGCCTGTTTCTGCTTTGTTTCTTGATTTTTGAAGTGGCAGAGTCAATTTTGTAGAGTGGTAAATTTGTTTTATTAAACCCTGATTCATGCTTCATCCTTCACTAGCCACTGAACAGTCAAATTTGTTTTATTTTTCTTTAAAAAGTATTTGCTAAGTGTAATAATTTTCTTTTAATATATTTTAATAGTTAAGGTTGTGTGAAAGTATGGCCATTGATAAAATAATCTTTTATGCAGTTTTTGCAAGTGGTTTACTTCTTTAAAAACTTGGAAATTATTTGGTTCATGTCACTACATTAATTTGAGATTTGACATCTGCTGGGTCTTTGGTCTATTTGATTGCAGGTCCAGAAAATTCAGTTATTAACACCAAACATTGGTGTCGTATATAGGTTTGTTTCTTTTTAAATATTTAAATCATTTTAAATGAAATATATTTTTATGGCATCATTAATTCTTTTTACCTTGAAAGTTGCTTCACATTGAATGTGTTATTAAACATGATATGCCACTTAATTTACCTAGACACATCAACAACTGAGTTGGGAGGCAAGGTCGCTGCCTGAGGGAAGTGGCAGAACTATTTTGGATTTTTTTTCCTTAAACACACATAAAGTATAAATAGATGTGGTATGCTTAACACTGATTAGAAACTTGATAGAAGTATATTATATGTTTCAGTCAAAATATAATCAAAAGTTGTCATTGGTAAACAGCAAACTATTGTTTGTCCTGATGTAAATTGACAAAAGAATACTTAAAGCATATATGCATGTGGCAGACTAATAGTATTTATTGTTTTGAGATATTAATAGACATGGCTGGCTGCTTTAGGATTTCAATGTATTCTCTCAAAAAAGGATTTTATGTGGATTCAACCTACAAAAATACTTGAATATTGATACTTTTCAATCATAAAAGAAAACAATATAGAAAGCAGAGCAAATTACTTTCTTTTCTCCTGTTACACTTTAATACAAAACTATTGACATAACTTGTTTTCTGATGTTTATTTTGTGTTTGAAACTTTATAATCAGGTTCTTAGCCTACCTTTTCCATTGCTGTTGAGCATTTTGTAAATGGAAGTGGTTATTTTTCCTTGTCTGCAAGCATGTTCTTTACTTGACCTAAATTTTGTCTTTGTTGTTCAGTGGTATGGGTCCTGATTTTCGAGTTTTGGTTCGAAAAAGCAGGAAACAGGCTGAGCAGTATCACAGATTATATAAAGTATGGTATATCATTTTCTATTCCAATATATTTTTCTTTCATAGTACTGAGTTCTGCACATTCTTGGTCAACAGTTCCTGTGTTCTACATAGTTGTTATTTATAAGAGAAAATAGTTTGTCCTATATTTTCCTATTGCTTGGAATATTTCGTGTCACATTTCTATTTTCCATCATGTGATCTCATTGTTCTTGTTGTAGGATTTATTTCCTGTAAATGTTGGTTATTATATTGATAAGATGTTCCTTAGAGCACTTTTTTCTTTTTCTGGAGAGTATCATGTATTTTTCAATAGATTTTGTTATAATTAAAAAAATATAAGAATTGCGCTCTACTAATGTTCTTTATGGAATATAGATAGGCTCTTGTTCTTGTTCTTTCTGTTTGATTTTTGGAATTCAATTATGTACCTTTTGTTAAGAGTAGGCTATATCTGATATTGTACTGGACAATTGCAGGAACCAATCCCTGTCACTCAACTCGTAAGGGAAGTTGCTGCTGTTATGCAGGAATTTACTCAGTCTGGGTAATTATTACTTTCTCTATAAATTGTCCTCTCTTTCAGATATGTTTTGACTGCTGAACTTTACCTTATCTACTCTTAGCATAAGTAGCACAGAAGTTTATTTTATGCACATCCCACAAAAAAAAAAATGATGATGGGGTGGAATCCTCGGTAACTTTGAGGCTTTGGCAAATTGATCCCTTAAATATTAGCATCATCTAGCTGTTTTCTGTTTCTCAATCTGTCTTCCTTATCATCCCCTCTAGAATTTTCCGATGCATAACTCCCTCACCAGAATCTCCCAGTGCATAATTCCCTCTCTCAAATTTTTCAGTGCATGGAAGTTTAATTATGCATATGCATCATCCCAGTAACAACCCAAAAAAAGGAAGATGGGGAGGAAAATACTCAAGGGTATACTTCAGGAATAGTTTTACAGTACCCTTCTCATTTTTGAGGCCATGGAAAATTGATCCCTTAAGTAATAGCCACTTGTTGCTGTTTTCTGTTTGTCAATTTGTCTCCATTATCATCCCCTCACTAGAATTTTCCAGCTTCTTATTCATCTCTCTAACTTTGCAACGGAAGATATTTTGCTAAGAAATTAGCATTGCCAAAATTGACTACCAAATTTTTTTTTTTGCCAAAATTAGCCCTTCCAATGACAATGATTTCTCATTGTGATGCTTTTCAAAGTTGATGGAGATTAATTACTGTAATTAAAAGTTGAGGGTTTCATTTTCCAAAGTCTCAATTATCATTAGCTGCTGGAAACCTGGAACTTATAACCAGTTTTCAGCTTGAGGTAACTTCAGTGCAGCTGTGAGGGATTTTAACTGTTTTCTTTTGCTTCTTAAGTTATATGTTAGATAAACATTTAGATTCCTATAGAAATTCCATACTCAGGTAGATCTTTATAGTAGACAAATTCTGAATGAGCATTTAAACCTAAAATGCGCTGAAATTAGTTGGATCCTCTGTCTATTTTCATACTCGCACGAATATTGCTTTTTCTTTCCATTCTTTTCCTCCCCTTCATTATCTTTTGGAATTCTGATATTTGTGCTTCGATCTGATAGTGGTGTTAGGCCTTTTGGAGTGTCCCTGCTGGTTGCTGGCTTTGATGATAATGGTCCACAATTATATCAGGTATGTTAACATGCTTTTTTTAATGTAACTCTTGATACTGTTGCTTTTAAGCCCTTGTTGATAAACTTCGCTTGCAATCTTGGTTGAAGAGCACATTGCGTTGGGTTACTCTTTGATGCAAAATTGAACTCTGTAAGTTTAGCTGTGACAAATACAAGCTGTACATGTAACAAGTCCAGACTTCAGAACAAGTATTCACACTGTGTTAAAAGAAATAAGTGCTACTTAGATTGTCTGAAGATAATAATGTAACCTATGAAAAGCTTGTAATTGCATTACTTAAATGTACACTATCTTGTTTTTCTTCACCTGAATTTTTTTTTTTTGGGAGGGGGGTTTCATATTGAAAATTGTTTGTTGATTATTTAAAAGCATTCCCCATGAAACCTCAACTTGTGTGGGTAGAGGTGAGAGAAATCCTTATACGCAGTTTTACTCTTGCACTTTTTGTTGAGTGATTATTTCCTGGATTCGAACCCATAATCTCTCAGTTACAAAGAAGCAACTTTACCACTACTCCAACTCGCCTTTTTTGCTCGTGGATTATTTATGTGGTTTAAATTTAAATGGGTGTGCTTAGAGAATTGGTTGTCCCTATCTCTACGCTGCTGCATGGTGTTTGATGAGTTTGTACTTGGTTCATTTGTTGTTGCACTTATAATTGTTTAAAATTTCTACTTTAGATTTTAGCAAAAAGAGAGAAGAGAGAATTTAATGTTGTCGTTTGGTGCAATTTGTTATTTCTATAGGTGGATCCATCAGGTTCTTATTTTTCTTGGAAAGCTTCTGCTATGGGGAAAAATGTTTCTAATGCAAAGACATTTCTGGAGAAGAGGTATACTTTAACATCAATGATAATGTTGTAGGAAAAAGATGCGGAGTGTATCAATTTATGTGTGTTGTGTCCACTATGTGCTGTAGCCACTATGTGCTGTAGCCTTTACTCCTGTCTCTTGACTTGTGTCATACGTGATGTGCCAAGAGTTATATTGTTAAAAATTTTCATCATGATTTTCATTTATTATTCCATTCCAAATATCATTACCAAATAAAAGGACCTGTTTCATATAATACTGAAATGATCAGGAAAAAATATCTCATAATTTATACTTAAAAAATCCTGAACTCTGATGTGATATCTGAAATAATTGTATGTTGGTCAATGCTGACTTAACTAGATGAAATACATTCTCTGATTGATTTGGATGACTAAACCTGATCTTTAGCCGAATTTTCTTAGGAGATATGGTTGATTTTATGGTTTCTTTATTGTTCTTCTTTCTTAAAGATGGTGAGGTCATCCACATATCCATAGCATCAGAAAGTAGTTTATTAATAAGGCTAGGTATGGACCCATGCATTGCATGAGCATCTCGAGAACTGACTGATAGCTCTTTTTTTATACATCAACTCTTCCTCTCCATTTTGAAGCTTCCGAACTTGTCAGCAATTGAGAAGGATGTTTGAAATGATCCAGTTCTCATTGCCAATAATGGAAAAGAAGAAAAGATAATAATAAGGGAATGGAAAGAGTTGACAATTGACGAGGGAATGGAAGATATGAAATAATGAAATGAAAAAAGTAGGTGAAAATAGTGATAGAATAGGACACAAAGTGTGAAACTTGTGAAAGTTATCAATGCTGAACTTTAATATACACTAAAATGATCCAATAATTGAGGCTGTTAAGATACTTGAAAGTCACTTAAGGAGAGCTTGAGAATCCTTTAGTTATGCTGGCATGGCTCAAATAGTAGCTAATGATAAGTTGACGTGGCAATCTTAGAGGACTCAGGATAGCTGAAGTAAGGTTCATAAATGTGTGCTTCAGAAATTATATATTATAATATATTTGTCTACTGTGTCTATTTTAATGCATGACTTCATAATTTGTCGGTTTTGTGGTTTGGAATTTATTTTTTTTAAAGATTTTTGTGATTGGTTGGTTCTTTGTTTGATGTGAGTATCATTAGTTATACCTCTATTTTTTCCTTATCAATTCAATGGTTGACTTGATTGTCCACTTGTAGGTACACAGATGATATGGAGCTTGATGATGCAGTCCACACAGCAATATTGACCCTGAAGGAAGGGTAGGAGCATGCCATTTCTAGTTTATGAACTAAATAAGACCTTAATGAAAATATCATAATTGATTGTTACTGTCCGTTAGGAGGCTCAAAGTCATTTTATATTTAGTTGTTTCCTTTTTTGTTTGGTCGAAATTTGTTTCCTCCTACCTTAAATAGTGCATGATAGCTTCAGTGTTTCAGAATTTGGGTTAGGAGAAGGAAAATGCATCTAAGATTGGCTTATTGGGTCCAAATGAGAAAATAGAGGCTAATCCTGTCTAGGTTATTTAAGAAAATTTTGTGGTCGTGATCTTGACAATTACCGAAGGCACATCCCCTTAAATCATCATGAGCTAGCTTTAATATTGCAAGGGTCCTAGTTTATTACATTAAAAAGTTTTAAAATGACAGGGAGTGATAACTGTCCATTGTCCCCTTTATTGACAATTTTTGTGTTTTTTGTCCCCTTCATCTGCTTCTGTATTATGGAACCTACGTGGTCTTTGTTTAGTCTTTGAAACTGTTCTCTTCTGTTTCCTTGTGGGTGTTTTTACAGGTTTGAGGGGCAGATCTCAGGAAAAAACATTGAAATTGGCATAATTGGTGCGGACAAAAAGTTCAGGTACATGCTTCTCTGTTTTATTTTTCGACCTTCTATATTTAAGTATATGAACCTTGCTTCCTCTGGTTTCTTTCATCTGTCAAATTGAGCTGATTTTAGGGTTGTCCAATTTGAATTAATAAATTAGGAGTATTTTGAAATACAAGAGAAACTGCATTACAAAAAATGATATGGAAGAAAAAATTGCCTAGATAAATGCTTCGAGGTAGGCGGGTTGGGACTGGGAAATGAAAATTAGCAACTTGAATAAAGATTATTGTGCTTGTTTTTACAATTTCTTCATTGCAAACGGAAAAAACATACTTTTCCAATGCACCTTTTGGGAGGGGTGGGGTCAAACTCCAGAATCATCCTTGCGTCTTTGGATTGTTTAACTGGGTAACTAAAAAACATCTTAATTATGTTGCAGGGTATTGACACCAGCTGAAATTGATGATTATTTGGGTGAAGTAGAATAATCTGGGGTGAAGGAATATGTTCCTGAAGTTGGTGTTTGTTTGACAGTTGAGTTTAATTGAATTTCAAGAAGGGTGCTTGAATGAACACTTGCGCGATGGCACTGGGGAATTTGTGAGCTACTCTTGTGGCCAGCAAGCCCTTCAGATAAACCTTTTTTTAATGTCATCAATGTAACCAAACAAACATAGCTTGTTTAAATATAATGATGATATGGCAATGACTTTAGTGAGTTTTTGTAATTTACTTTCTTCCTTTTATTATCTGACTCTGCTTTATCCATCTATCTATTATTTTAGATCTTTTTAGTCAAGTTCAATGCATTATAATTGCATTGGGATATCAAACTCGGTCAATGCAACAAGCTCGTCTGTTATTCCTACTAAGTGTCCAATTCATGATCTTATCTTTTGTTTTAATGCTATTGTCCAAGCCACGAATCCTTATTTAATTATGTAACATCATTTGTTTTTTTAATCTTACGCAACAATATTTATACTATAATGCCAATTAAAGAGGATCCCCAGCAAATTGTATAATTTAACTAAGTTGTATAATTTTTTGTTTGTTTTGGAAACACTAAATTGTATGATTTAACTGTGGCTTGTTACGCTATTTTCACCGAGGATACTGGTGACCCTGCTCAAAGAGGCATTTAAGTTAAATAATGGTATAATCACTTAAAGGCAGAAAACAGAAAGAATAACATAAGTTTTTCTATTTTCAGACAAATAAGAGAGCAGAATTGAGCGGGGACTCGTGTTTTTCCTGCTGTTTCAGTTTACTTTTACTAGTTCTTGTCTCTGAGCGTTCAAATGTTGTAATACCTGACAAACTTTACTGTCTCAAGTTCAAAGCATTCCAACCTCTATTAACATGTAATGCGATCGGTGAATGAGTCAACAGATTTAATACGAATTGAATAAATACATATCATTGATGTTTTCCCGAAATCTTCTGAACTACAAAAGAAAAGTGTACTGAAGATGAAGAATGAACTCTTAACCTAATTTAAGCAAGTTATGCATAGAATATTAAAAATGTAATTATTATTTATTAATACTGAGCGGCACTACATCCGTTGAGTTTACATAAAAGGTTTAGGAGTGCTTAATAATATAAGGGATATAAATTATAATCGCGATATAAATTAGAAGAAAAAATTGCACCCTCATTACAATGATACACAAAAGGTATATAGATGAGCTGATATAAATCTTTTCCTACGTAGCGGTAGATACTAGACAAGTCATACGAGGCATGTCTCTATTGCTACAAGAAAAACAGTCACATTGATTCACAGAAACAAAAGTGACGTGCCTATCCACCACTGTCCAAATCATAACCTAAATCCCCTAAGATTTTTTTTTTTTTTTTCAAATTTCTCCATGGATTCACCGGAAACCCATCTGACCCATTTTGAGCTCTCTCAAACCCATTACAATGAAGAATATTTTCTCTATTCCCTGGGTTCAAACTCAATTAAGAGAACAAATTCCTTGCAACTTGAACCACTAGTTGATGGTAAATTTTTGTTTTAATTCAACTCTTCTATGCTCTCGTCATACCTTTTTTTCCTCCGTTAACAAGTGATTCTTGAAGATTGATGCAGATAATGCATTTATACAGATAAAAAAACATCTATACTTACTGAGTTTCAAGTCAGTGGTTAGAAAGGAAAGCTAAACAAATGGTCTACATAGATAGGATCCCAATGACAGCACTTTCTTCTGAGCTACTTCTTGATTTTCCAGTTATGGGACGTGCGAGGCCCGCTTGCAATGCCTTCATAGTATTGCGATTCAAGCTTTCCTCTATTCCAAGCTTTGACAAAATCTGAAAACAACTCGCGTGCTGACTCGGATAAAAGATCAGAGAAAAACACATTCTTCTCTTCTTTCAGCCAGGTAGCAAACTCATTATTCTTAGCAAAATAGTCATCATTGGACAATTCTTGGAATTCCTACATTATAAATAACAATGATGAATCATAAATACCAATAAACTAACAAATAAATAATCTCAACAACCACAGCTTCTAACTATAAAATGTAAGTACGTAGATACTAAGTGCGGTTAAGCCTTATAGCAGTGGTAAGGTTACTCCTTCTGATTGGAAAGTCACGAGTTCGAATATGGGACAATGCATCTTTGCAAAATGTTGTAAACGTAAAACTACTTACAATTGACCCTCACCTCTACCCTTGCAAGTCGGAGAGTCTTGGGTACTTGAATTTGCCCTTTGCCCTTGACTAGATACTGTTAAGAGTGTTAGTGTTAATAGTGTAGAAGTCCTACATTGAGTGTGTCTCTTTGCATTCTTCAATTGGTTTGCTATATAATAGCACCAATGTTGTGTAGTTTAATACAACAAGGATTACTATCATTTCCTCTTGTATCTATGAGATTTAACATGGTATCTAGAGCCTAACAAGAGGAATCTTAATCCGTTTAACTTAGTTCTATTTTCCATAATTTCAATATGGTTATAGAGAGATATCACCCTCCTTGAGGGATTCCCGTTTCTTTTTCGGGTTTTTCTTAGTATGCTCTGTGACTGCAGCTTAGACTGATCTGTCACATCAGAAAAGAATGATCCTTGGGAAGTTGTTGGGTTGACCACCGTTGTCGTTGACTGACTACCGTTGACCGCGTCGTCCACTGTTGACAGCCTTCTCCGGCGACTTTACTGGTGACTTTTCCGATGATTTTCCGGCGACTTTTTCGGCGATCCACCACCGTCTCCGACGAACCGCCGCCGTCTCCGGCGACTTTTCCGATTCCGCGAAGCTTTGTTTTTCTTTAATCATCTTTCTTCCCAAGATGGAGTATTTATACTATTCATCATCCATATTGAGGGGGAGCACTGTCCAAGTTGCTGATGTTGTCTCCGCTGATGTTAATTCCGACACCGAAGTTCCTCTTGAGGGGGAGCACTGTCCATGTTGCTGATGGTCATTCCAGCATAATTATCTTTGCCGATGATAATTCCGGCACTGTTTAGAAGTTCCTCTTAAGGGGGAGCACTGTCCATGTTGTTGATGGTCATTCCAGCACAATTGTTTTTGCCGATGATAATTTCGGCACTGTTTAGAAGTTCCTCTTGAGGGGGAGCACTGTCCATGTTGCTGATGGCCATTCCAGCACAATTGTCTTTGGCGATGATCATTTCGCAATCTTCCATGTTGATGTTCATTTCGACGCCATTTTTAGCACATTGTTGATTTTTGGTTTCTCATTTAGGAGATTTATTTTGATGTTATGTTACTTGGTCTTTCTTGTAATAAGCTTGTAGCATAGTCAAGGGGAAACCACGGCTGTTCACCAACTGTTAAATGAAATGTCTGAGAGGGATCTTGATGCTGATGTCCTGGTCAGCTCAGTTGTCTTTGCCGATAATAATTCCGACACCATCCATGCTCTGATGTCCATTCCAGCACTGTCTCTTTATCAGCTCTTCAGACTGATGGTCATTCCAGTTGATTTGTTGTACTTAGTCATTTCATTTCGTTGATGTAGCATTGTTGTTTTTTGGTTCCTAATGGGAGTATTATTTATGTATCAAGCTTGTAGCATATGATCTATATGCTACAGCTTGAGGGGGAGTGTTAAGAGAGTTAGTGTTAATAGTGTAGAAGTCCCACATTGAGTGTGTCTCTTTGTATTCTTCAATTGGTTTGCTATATAATAGCACCAATGTTGTGTAGTTTAATACAACAAGGATTACTATCATTTCCTCTTGTATCTATGATATTCAACAGATACTAAGCATTAACATATGGCAATCAACAAGAAATCATTTTTAGCTCTTGAAATGAATGTCATGAGTAGACACGGGGATGGTCCATCTTAAGAGTTTTATTTTGAAAATTATACCATAACAATCATCGAAAGTTTTAAAAATAAGAGAAACAAACACTTCTTGACTGTTGAACATTGCAGCATGAACTACTTTTTTGTCTAGAAAATTAAAAGCTTTTATCGCTCGTATAAATAAATTTAGTAGAAAGTCAATGCTGGTGAACCTGGGGGTGGGAGAATTCAATTAAGTGAAAATTCATAGATGTAATTGTTGAAGAAAACATGTGACTACACCGATAAAAGGATCCGAGACAGATTTCCAGCATGAAAAAAAGTTAACCAACAAGATTCCTTTGCCTGTAGCATTAGTAATATTGGGAATATAACTCACCATATGGCCATCACCTTTACTATGCTTGCTTTTGTGCGTGTCTTTCAACTTCTTCGCTGAAATAACAACAGAATATACATATATTTTGCCATGAGACGAATCCCATTCCATAGAGAAGATTATATTAACCATAATCCTTGTCTAGTGAACAACAGACATTAAACAAAGTTAAAACTCATCAAATATAATATTAAGTAATAATGACAGGAACAATCATAATAGAGAAAAGAACGTGAACATCTCAACTTCACCTGTGTTACAAAAATCAAGTTTTAGACCAATTAAAAATGAGAATCTTTCAATGGAAAATTTATACTTTTCTTGCTATTCATCAAGGCATCAACTGTTTTATGGAAAACAACAGAGCAAGGAGAAAAGTATACGACCAAAAGCTTTGTTCTTAAAGATTGAGGCATTTTCAAGGAAAGACGGTGAAGTTATAACAGTGAGATGTTAGCCACAGTTGTAGGCAATAGTAGCAGGTAATAACTATTTTTGAGTTTGTTTGACTCTTGCATCTTGAAGAGCAATCCCAGAAAATCACACCAAATATTTAAAGTTGTACATAAACTTTCCACAATACTGTTTCCTTCAAGAAGAAGTAAGGGAGACAGAAGGAGAAAAAGAAAATTCAATGAACAATTTCAATTGCAAATTATAGACTAAAGAATAGAAGAGAAAAACAAAATTGATAGCTAAGCAATCCTAAATAAGCATCCCAATTAACCCAAATTCTTGGTAAAAAGAAAACCTACCAATCCCAAATTGCTATCCTAATTCCAATATATCCCTAACCCATATAAATATGACATTCCATAATCCTAACAATCTTTTCCAATATCCCATTATTATGTTTATGACTTCATACACAATCAAATATATATCATCAATATTTCCAAAGAGTAAGATAGGAATAAGTAGCAACTAGCAAATAGAATTTGCTGTTAAATGGCACAGGACAAGGATTTGTATGCCTATACTTTTAGCCCTATTATTGTAGGAAATCTATTTTATAAACATGTTAGAGTGTAGGCACGATTCGAAGCAATCCTCTCATGTAATTCCATGTAAGCCTAAATGAATTCATATTCATTTTAATTGGATCCTTGAAGATTATAGAACTGGAGAATGATTGCATAATGATTTGTGACAGCTTCTCCTATTCACACACCTATTTATAAAAAAGAAAGATACCTAAAGTTGATTTTAAACTCAAATTTACACCCAAATATTGGCATGCTTTCTAGACTAGATTATTGAATATTTCACGGAGAACCACAATCTCTACAATTAGTCTCCATGACCTCTTGCTTCCTAATAGCACGGCTCAGGCTTACAAATCTCTAAAGACCCTCCATGTCAAATCAACTACTGATAAAGCCTTTCCTTGTTCCTTTTTTATAATAATTCAGTAAATTAGAGATATGGTCCTAATCTTATATAGACCATCACAGTCTTTAAGCACTTTGAAGGCAACACTACTTATACACTTATACAAGCAAGGTTAAAATTACCATTCATTGATTGTCTAGGTTGCATATTCTTATCATATTCAGTTATTCAATATTTAATACAAAAAGTCGTGCCAAGGTTGAACTTCATTGTCCAAACCAGATAATCAACCCATAATAAATATGCATGTATGCAAATCCCATAATAAAAGTTCAGAAAATGAATCAATTACTTCTATGTCCTGCAGCTACTACAGTGAAGCAAAGGAAAAAAAAAACACAATTTTTTTAGTTTAATGCTTAAACATATTGGCCAAATTGATCATTATTAATTACTAAGAGTTATAATCAAATCAAACTTCAAAAAAATAAAAAATAAAATATCATGCTCACCCTTATCAGAATTTTCTTTGGAATGCTTATGAGATTTCTTGTCTTTCCTTTTCTCTTTCTTTTCCCTCTTTCGGTTCTTCTTTTCCTCATCCTCTACCGTTCTCTGCCTCTTGCTTTTCTTCTCATCTGTGGATTAACAATACAATTAACAAAATAATAATAGCACAAATAAATACCAAAAAAAAAAAAAAACCACACACCCAAAAAACAGACCAAGGTGTACCCAGCTTTCTCTCTCACTATTTTGCATAACCCATGATTCAAATACTCAATAATCTCAGCTTATGAGTGAGATTTAATGCAAAAGATCAAATTTTTTTTCCAACCCCTAAAAACTTTCTTTCGTTTTCTCGAAGCCAAGCAGGTTGCAAAGTGAAGGGTGTAAAAAATAAAAGGAATTACAAAGTGAAGGGAAAAAATGAAGTACCTTGGGATTCGGAGGGTGAATCGAAACTGGTTCGCTTGGATTTTCTATCACTTCCCATTATTGATGATTGCTTCCCAAAGCTACACAGAATTTGCAAAGCAAACTGCTCACAATCGATTTTCAACACTCAAACCGTGATTCTCCCCATCTTTATTTATTTTTCCATCATTTTTGTTTGCTGTGCTAAAATAAATAAATTATTTTAATTAATAGAAATAATTCTCCAAATAATATTATTTTGAGAAATTCTTATTTTTTTAATTTTTTTTTTACTTTTTATTTAAATTAGAAAATAAACAAATTTTTAAATTCTATTTAAAAAATTCCATTTTGATTGCGCAAAAAATCAAACGTAAGTTTGATTGCATCTTATAAATTATATTGAAATTTTAAAGTAATGTTAGCTGTCAATGAATTTTGTTTTAGGAGATTACTTCTCTTGTGTAGTACGAGAGAAATTTTCTTATGTTAAGAGACAAATAAAGTGGGCTCCATCAACTTTTTAAAAAAAAGAAAAAGAAAAAAAAGGCACATTTTTTAAAGAGAGAGTGACATGAGAGATCCATCTTATGCAACGTAAGAATATGATTTCTCTTTTGTTTTATTACAATAATTAGATAACCTTCCTTTTGGAGAAAAGCTTACTAGATGATCAACGATGATCATTCTCTTTTATGCAGGAAAAAATTTCATCATCAATCATACTTGCATATATTTTATGAAGAGAGATATTCTCACTACCAAATTTTTTCATTACCAACTTACTACTTATCTAATCACCATTAGATTAATATTTTCTCTCTCTTCAAAAATTTTGTAACATTCTCTCTCTTTGATGTGATGGGTAATAAGTTAGTAGTAAGAATTTTTGGTAGTTAGAATATCCTTACTCATATTTTATACTTTGCATATATTTTATACTTTGAAGAGTATCTACAGTTATGTTGCATCACATTTCAAAAAACTTGCAATGTCGTGTTTTACATTTTACGACTATATATCAGATTGTCACTATGACACATTCTGATATCTATAATATTTGAAATTTTATTATATATTATGAAAAATTGATCGATAATTTACCAAATTGTTATAATAAAAATAAAAAATAGATACCGAATAAATCTCACTGGAGTGTATAAGATACTTTCAAGTTAAAAATATAATAATAAAGATTTACATCTTATGTTTCTTTGTAAAATTGATGAGTATTATGAATTTAATTAATTTTTTTATTAAATTATTGAATATTAAATATAATATATACTACATAAATTAAAAATATTATTTAATATCAAAATGTGTCCTAAAATATCAAAATTCAATATTTTTTAAAATTAATGTATCGGAATATCGTATCGTATTTCATATCCGGGTCAGTATCGATAGAACATAAATTTACACAATAATATACTTTAAATGCCTAGATTATTGCGGAGAATAGTATAGAGTATCCACTAGCAAACTTATATTTAATTATTTTTGGGTGTTTTGTATAATATACACATTTAATATTGATCAATTATTCTTTTTCTATTTCTTCCTATGACTTGTGTGTTGTTTATTATTATTTATATCACAATTTGATTATACATAGAATTCTACACAAGGAAATGCTAAATAATTGAAAAAAATGTGTTGGAATTTTTAGGAACATCATTAGTTTTGGATTGATGAGTGGTTTCCCATTATTTTATGAGAAAAATATCTATTCTTTTAAAGGATATAATCTTATATCATTTTAGATCCTAACCGTTGATTTCCGTCCATCAATGGTTATAATTTATTGAATCAAACTTAATGGGCCAAATTTATTATTAATTAATTAATAATTTTGATCCAATAAATTATAACCGTTGATGGACAAAAATCAACGGGTAGAATCTAAAATGATATAAACTTCTATCGTTTAAAATGACAAATGTTATTCCCTTTATTTTATCTTACTTAATAAGTACTCTCAAACCTAATATCTTATTAATAACTAAATTATAAAAAAAAAAATACGTAAACCAAGTTTCTTTTTAATGTTTTTCAATTTTTTTTACTTATTTGGTTTGGAAAGTAACTATACATATTTTTATATTATAAATTCATTTATTATATATATATATATATACATATATATATATATATATATATATATATATATAAGAGCAGGTTATATTTACAAACTTTTTTGTTTACAAACTACACTAAGTACGACCGGTCACATTTTAATCATGCAATGTACGACCGGTTGTACTTAGTGTAATTTGCAAAAAAAAATTGTAAACAAATCTTATTCCATATATAGAAAGAAACTTAGGATTCTCATTTTGAGAATGAGATAATATTCTATTATATTGTCATTCTCTAGCATACGAGATCACCATAAAAAATACCTTTCTTATTTTTACAAAAAGAAATTAGGTGGAATTAGACGTGGTATCCCACCATCGTTAGGGTAAATTAATTAGTAATTTTATGTTTTTTAGTCTTAAATTAAATTTTTAAATATAATTATCCATCAAACATAATATTCAAATTTCTTATTTTATTATTATTTTAATGACTGCTATATGTATTGTATTGGACTAAATAAATCATAACACGGGCCCCTGGCCCTTTTGTCTACCAAAAAAATAAATCATAACACAACATAAATATTTTCTTAAGGTAGTGTTTGATTGAGGAGAAATTTTGTAATACTAGGGATCTCTACGAAAAGTGAGTTAGATAGAAAATTTTTAAAAAAGTTGTTTGGTTAGGCAAAATTTTACCAGAAAAATTAAATTAAATTTCTGAACGTGTGTTTGGTTGAAGATAAAATATTGATAGGAAAACTTTAATTTCAACAAAACTATCCTTCTAAAAACATTAAGATAGGAACACAAGATCTTGTGCGTTAACTTGTCACACAAGATCTTCTATACCATCCTGTGCTTGCAAATCTATCACATGAATAGCACTTAAACATTCATGTACTCCCAAATCAGCTGCCATTTTTTTTGTGGAAATATTCCATCGGTTCATCGCTTCGCGATTAGTCCGATTCGGGGCGGGTCCAGGATTAAGGCTTTAAACCCCTCCGAAAGGTGGTACTGGGGAGATTCGAACACATGCCCTCACCCCCACCTGCTTAGCTCTCATGCGCCAACTGAGCTACCACCATTTGGTACAAATCAACTGCCATTTGATCATGAACAAAGAAACCACGACCTTGTGGTGCCTCCAACGAATTAGCATTTGCAGGTGTTCTGTTCTCTGTTGATAAAGATGTCGTACCTTCAACTTGAGAAATATAATTTGGACAGAAAGGGAACACCAACATCAATAACAGAGACATATCCAGATTCTCACAACAATACCATGGTGGGAGAGGGCAAGTTCAACAGTGAATTTCTTCCATTTTTACACTATCTGTGAATAGCTGGGCAACTAGAAATGATGGCTAAGGAGAATGTTATCCTCAACCAAACGTGAAGAAATAGGAAACTCATTTACACTTAGCTGAGATAATTTTCAGAAGTCTCCAACCAAACACTACCTAATAGGAATTGTGGGTAAAATGGATCAAACAATGTCATTGGCAAAGATAAATTTTCATGAAGGCAATTTAGATAAATATCTTTTCGAATGGTCTCTCTTCTAATATTTTTCACGTGTCTTCTTCTCTCTCAGCTTATTATATTATCCTTCATGTTATCAACTTTTTTTATTGGAATCTTTTTTTGTCTTCTTTTTACATGGCCAAATTATCTTATGTGTGAATTGTGATTATGTCATCTTTTTCTAAATTGGTGCTATTCTATTCTATAATTTGCATTTCTTACCTTATCTTTTCTTGTATATACGCTCCTATATTACAAAATTCTCATCTTCGCAACACTTATCTTGTAATCTTATTGGGACTTCATAACTCAAAATTTAGTACCATACACCATTAATGATCGACTATACAAAATATGACATGATTATATAGGAATATCATAATCATACAAAAGTATATTAACAGTTATGATTTTGTAACTATTTATTTCAATTTTTTTTTCTCTATTCTTTTGTTAACATTAATCTATCTTTATATGATTATGATTTCTTTCATATCATATCATGTTTTTTTTAACATAAGAGAATCCAAATACGTATTAGGAGACTTATCAAGCACAACCCTTAGCACCACTCCTAACAACTAATAAACCGAAACTGATTAGGTTTGGAACAAGTTTTTTTGTCAAGGTTATGCCAAAAGCCGAGGTTTGCACCCATCTTCATAACCATTCTCATATCTATTTGAACCAGCTTTGCTTCTTCTTCTTTTTAGTTTTTTCTAATTGTTGGTTGTCTTTATCATTTCGTTATTGTAATAAATGGAGAATTTTTTTTAGTTTTGCTTACTACATGATAAAGTTTTGCTTCTTTATTTTTTTAGTTTTTATTTTTATTTTTTTAGTTTTTCTAATTGTTGGTTGCCTTTACCATTTTCTCATTGTAATAAATGGAGCGATTTTTTTAGTTTTGCTCACTACACGATAAAGTTTTGCTTCTTTATTTTTTTTTTCTAATTGTTTGTTGTCTTTACCATTTTCTGTGTAATAAATGAAGCAATTTTTTAGTTTTGCTTATTACATGATAAAGTCATAATACTGCACTTAACAAGAGCTGAAAATTTGATTTTTCCACGTTCACTTACCAATAGATTTGCTACTTCAAAGGGGCAATGTCCTGCATAAACTTTCTGATTTAAATTTGGAGTTAAAATAGGAGTTGAAACCAATGTTATCAGACCCCACTCGGTGATTCAACCGGCCGGAATAATGAGTCACTGGTTCAATTAGTGGGTCAAAGGTTGAATAGCATGACTTAACTTTATACATAAAAACTTATATTATATAAAAAATATATAAAAGTATACAAATATATATATAAAAAATATTATATAGGGATGCAAAGATATATAATTTTGTGTGAATAAAAAAAATCATATATAATAACTACATATAATGTATTGTAAAAGAAATAAAAAACATTATATGTTAATAATTCTGTATTAGGATAATTTAAAAACTAATTTTTAAAATTCAAAATTTTAAAAATATATTAATAAAATTATACTTCTTTTCAAATTTTACCTATTTATATTCTTCTAAACCACTCAATTAC